TTTTAGAAAGAATCACATTTCATTTGTTCTCTGCCATTTACAGCAGGAATTCTTCTATTTTCTCTTCTTTAGTGGGTGTTCAAATGCCAATTTAGAGAGCTTTGAATATCCAACACTCAGAACAGTCTGGGATTCCTCCTATATGTGAAATACAGTTAAAATCTGGACGAAATACTTCAAAAGGAAGAGGGCATTTTCCTCATAGAAGTCATGTGCTTTAAACTAATCTGGTGATGCCTGGGGGACCTTTGAAATGTTTGCAATTGCCAGGACTTATGTATTGAGTGAGAAACTTGGGTTCACACCTTGTGCTTTGAGAAAGGGGAATGTGTATCACAGGGGCTTGTAACAGACTGGGCCAGTGCTTGGACTAAATAATGCAGACCATAGGGTCTCCTGAGCATCAGGACTGAAAATCTGTGGTGTCACGTTCAAGGGAATTTTGGTAGTAGATGATGAAGACTGTGCTGATCTAGGAGTTTGATTTTGCCTTCTTTGCTAGGTCGTGGGAAGGTTGAACAGTTCTGCTCCTCCTGGACAGATGCAGTTTGCTCTGGTTGTTACATTCTTTCAAGATTGAAATTGGAGTTTTTTGAAAACCTCCAGCATTCCTTAAAAATACTTATTTCAAAGGCAATACCAGTATTCCAGTGTAACCTTAATGGTTTTTACTGGAATTTACTGACTTTTACAGCAAGACAGTCTTTAAAATGTAGATCAATATTCTACAAATCTGATCAAGGAACTGTACTTCAGGTTGAGATTAATATCCATTTCTGTACTTGGAAAACTTCTACAAGTGTTTTATGATGTGGTTGGAGTTCATATGTAGAACTGCCAGGACTGATGCATCACTACATTGGAAATGCAAAAAAATTTGCATCTTGAAACTGTGGGAAGCTTTTCCTTCATGTGGGTTGGGAGAGGGCAGGAGGCGAGACCCAAAGTCCTGTCTCTGTCACTTTTTTATCAGTTAGATTGTAATGTCTGATCCATCCTTCCCTCAGAAGCCTCCTCACTTGCTTTAAGGAGCCCTTTTTGCTTATCAGATTGGAAGGAGTCCTGTCTGACCTCTCTGATCTGCCCATCATCTGTCAGGACACCTCTGAAACCTAAAGGTTATCTTTGATGGTTGAGCTCATGATGCAGCTTAGAATGACGCTGAGAGAAATCATCCAATTGCCACCTTACTTAAAGGTCCTCTCAGTAAGGGTTTCTGTCTTATTCATTTCACTAATTTTTATTTTATTGTATGGACCTGGGATAATACGTTAGTTCATAGCTTTGCCTATTTTATTTTTATAGCCCCCTCCCATTTGCCACCATGATATAAAAATTGATTTCTTGAACCCACTGGTGAATTCTATTAAGTATTTTTGATGAGCCACATTGATAAATGCATTTTAAAAACTGTGTTTTGTATGATGGGGTTGGGAACCAGACATGAAATTTAATTATCTCTTAGTCTTACTTTATAAGCTTGTGACACTGAGAAGAGTGAGAGACAGCAAGCAAGCATGACACCAGAGAGGCAGGAAAGGGGGGCAGCAGTGTTCACTTTGAAGATTTTCTTTCAACCCAGTATTAGACTGGAAGAAAAAAAAAGAAAAGAGTATTTGTATGACTATATTGTCATGCTGGAAAGGCCAGAGCTTCCACTCTACTTCAGGGTAATGAGTTCCTCTTCAGGGTAAGGGTCCCTCACAAGTGCCCATCCATGGGTAGCTCTTCAACAGATATCTAGTGCTGTACTGCTGAATTCAGGAAAGAGATGGAGACAGCAGTGAATGCCCCTTCTACACTTCTGAGGGTTTCTTTTTCAGCTTGAGTGTGTAGTAAGTGGAGTAAGATAGCTGAAAAAAAAGGGAATCTTCAATTTGATAAACCTTTCAGGAAGCATGTTCTGTGCCTAGCAGTGTGCCTGATATTTCTCTGTACGCTTTGATAGATATTTTTCTTCCCCCAAACATCTCTTTGGATAAGTGTTTAGGACCTTGAATTCAGGTTTGGGGAGGCCAGTGTCATGAGCAGGTAGGCTGGTAAGACTTTGCAAGCTTCACTTCTGCGGGCCCTTCTGTGCAGTTTTAGTGACAAAGAGGACTGAGCTTACCCTGGGATTTTAAGAGCACATATTTTTAATAGAACTTGGCAGTTCAAGGGCTAGAGAAGCATTTTAATCTTTTGTGCCCACCCAGTCTCTATACAAATGTAAATATGTCTGTCTTTAACAATTTGCCAAGAAATGTGGTTTTAATTTGTTAGCAGCGATCCCACTCCCTGCAGCTCTCAGAGTCGAATCGCAAGTCTGGTGGTGCTTTGACATTTTTCTCTGTCATGGTGTCATTGTTTATATGATGTCTGCTTCTGCTGTCCTCCCTTTTATGCCTGGAATATTTTTCTTTAATTATTTCATTGCCTAAAAGGAATCTGGGATTACTAGACAGGATGAGAGCAGATTAGCTTTTTTTCTTTCTTTAGCAAGTCCTGAAGTTCCCATAGGAAATAAATAGTATTCTCAAAACAGACGGTGTGTTTTATTTTTTTTTAATTAACTAAAATTATTAAGCCTAATAAAGAAAATAAAGGAAGTATCACCAATAATGGCTGTGTGTCTTAGTAGTATATGAAGTGCCCACTGTTGTTATTTATGACTCCCTCTGCCTTCTATTGTGGACTTATTCCAGCCTTAGGGAGTTTACATCACTAGTAATAGCAAAAGGCTCTCTGGTTCCCACAGTGTCTTTCAGAGCCTGACTCATATGCCTTATGTTAATTGTTCAGCTCTCAAAATACAGCACTTACAGGGTGTGGTTCCGAGGGGAAAATCTACTGTACTTAGAGGGCATGTTCAGAAGTGTTTCACATATAAATCATTTTGGTTTTTACTTTTTTGATGCCTTAACCCTTTCTGTCACTGCTTTATGTGATAAGTTATGTGAAAGCAAAACAAAAGGTCGATGACAGCGCAGTGAAGGGAATGTGTTAGCCCTGCAACTTGGGGCCATTAGCTCCAGCCTGACTCAACTCCAAAGTGCTGCGATTTTGATCCTGGCCTCTCTGCAGGGTCTGCTCCTCTCAGCCTGGCAGGACCATCCCAGTCCTGCAGGGTCCGGAGTCAGAGGCAGGTCAGTGCTGGGGCTTATTCCTTATCTGCAGTAGAGAGTATGTGGGGACAGGCGCTAGCCCCAGGCCTCCCCTGGATCTTGTACTAAGGGCTCCTTTGCAGGCCTTGCTTGCCACAGTGCCAAGAGTTGCCTCTCAGAGTGGGCTGCTGATCCTGGCCTGGTCAGCACGCTGGGGGCTGGAGAACAGTTAACAGAATTAACCTGACCCGTTTCCACCCAGCAGGAGCTCAGATGGGCTCCGGCTCTCTGGCCAAGTATGAGTGCTCTCCAGCTGCTTTGATGCAGGGTGATTGTGCAAGACCCTTCAGCCTCCAAGTTGTGTGACTGTTACTGGAAATCAAAATAGTTTCTACAGACTTTGCAGTCTCTGCCTTCTCTTAAAATTAGCATAGGGCTCCAGTATCTTAGTAGTATTTCTTTCTTTAATAGCTTACAAAGTATGAAAATATATTTAGTCAAATTAGGGGAATCTACCTCCAGCAAGAATAGAAGCAGCAATTAATCCCTCAGATTAAACTAGTTAAGCTTGATTTCTGAGGCTGGGATCACATTGCATGTATGCTGTTTTCTGCCTGCTGTAAACACACTCGTTGCACCACGAGTGGACAGAACTTCATACGTGGCTCAATGTGCACATTTGTGTAACTTGTCTCTGAAAGGAAGGCTCAGAACAGCTGTAGCTTTTTAAAGTGCCACAATGGCTTTACTTCTTTGCCTGACTACCCTCCATCTTTTTGCAAAGTAGGAAGCTGTTTCCACTGGCTATTTCTTCTGGAAGGAGCATGGGGGTACCCCTGCCCTCTCCTCTAAAACAGATATGAAAATGGGCAGGGCTTGATCTCCCCTAAGTGACAGGTTCCCGAGGGGTGTTCCAGGCAGGGGTCATGCACAGGCTGTGGCCTTGTGCCTCTGCTGGCTGTCTCTGTGTCCCTCAGTTGTTCCGCACCGCCTGGCTCCAGTGCCTCACCAAGGAATGGGCTGGAGCTCCCCTGCGCTTGGGGAGCCCTGTCACATGCTGCATCGTGGGGGCTGAGGGAGAAAAGTGCTCTCAAAGACAAGGAGATGCACAAAGCCTCTTCTGCTCTTGACTTCACCACTTCTTTTTCCTCTCCTCCGTGGCCTCAGAGATAATGCTGTTTTGGAGTGTGTGGTAGTTAATAGTGAAATCGGCAAACGGTCCTTCTCTGGTTGAGATTGTTTCATTGCGAAGGGAAGTGCTCACAGCTTGAAGAAAAAGAGCATTTTCCTTCCCTCCCGCTCGCCCCACCCTCATATTATATAAAAGGATGGTGCTGCTGTTAGCTGAGACCAGAAAGAATTCCCCTGGTGTCCTGTAGTAGCCAACCACTACAAGCTGCGAGCGTTTAAATGTTAGAATTAAAAGTTTTAACCCTTGCCTTGTTCAGTGAGCAAATAACGCTGTGTATGGTTTTTTGTAAGTGTGGAAAATGATGGGAATTCCTCTGAGAATAAGTGTATAGACCACTGCGCCAGTCAGTCTCTTCAGAAAAAACTGACAAGCGTGCTCCTGTCTGCAAGAGAGATTCCTGGTATTTGTCACAGTTTGAGCCACAAAGATGTCAAGTATTTGCCAACAGTTTCCTCAGATGGTTTGGAAAGCTACGTCCTTTACATTGCAGCCTTGTTTGTTTGTGGTGTATTTTAGCATACAAAATATGTTGCTTGAGAGTCAAGGGGAGGGAACTGACTAGACTCCTAAATATTAAAAGATTAAAAATAATTGTTTCTTTTAGATTGCTTAGATCAAAATAATAAAGAACAGCTGTAAATCTTAGTATTAGAAATGGAGCTTTCTGTTGAATAATCACAGTTTGATGTGTCATGCTTTAAACCTGTATTTTTTTTTTGGAGCAGAAAGAAGAACTTTCCAATGGGACGTCTAAATATTTTACTGAATCTGCTGAGAACAAGAAGCTTAAGATTAGTCTGAGTGAACAAATAAAGCAAGACATCCTGAGAAAAATGTATGCCACTATTCTTTATAAGCTTTTGAATTTATAATTGGTAAACTTTTATTTGGTAGAATCTAGCTCATGAAATAAAATCTTAAATAATACAAAATTTGAAATAATATAAACTACTTTACAAAAGATTGTTTTAAATTACTGAAAGATTACTGCTGTAGTGTGGATAAGCACATAAAATGATTGATGTTTTTTACAGCATGGAGAAAGCTATTACAACCCACACAGATGTAACACATAGCACTAGGCAGAGTCAAAACAGGCTGTTTTTCCTTGAATGAAGCTCTGAGCCAAAATAAATATGTGATGCTTGAATCGGGTGAAAAACACTTCACAAATGTTTTTTGTTGTTCATTTTGAGACTCTGGCTCAATAGTCACAATTAGAGAGTATCCCTGATTGAGTGGATGAGGAGGATGAGCTGATCAGCTGAACTTGTCACTGCTCCATGTGGTAGCAGGACCCCATCCCAAGCTGTGGGAGATGCCAGCAGCCCCAAATCACCTGTGAAATCAGGGATTTGCTGTGAACCCTGGCAACTTTTCTTTTTACCACAGTTGTCTCATGTGTTGCCTTTGTGTTGCCAAAGCAATAAGATTAGCTTTGGAGGCATGCCAGTTCTACCTGGTTTGGGTGAGCCCTCTTTGAGGGGAGTTAGATGCTCTGTCCCGGGACCTGCTGGGCAGCAGAACATGGTCTCAGTGTGGGGCCGTCTCTAGCAGCTGTGTGTTTAGACTCCAAATGCAGCTTCAGGACTTGGGCATAAAGTTCATCTTAAGGGCTGTGTGAAATCCAGATCCATAGGTAGCGTGCTGCTGAGGAGTGTTTATGTACTGCTGCTCCGTCAGCTCCCTTGTGATCCCATTTTCCTGTGTAATTCCTTTCAGAATATCATCTACTTGCATTACCCAAGTCCTTGCCAGATGAATGGGCTTGATACTAGATGAGTAGTGGTTAACTTTGAAGCAATGCTTTGAAATGTCCTGGGAAAAATTCCAGAGGAACATTCTAAAATAGAGATTAGGAGCTCTCACACAGAGGCGCACTCACTGCCTCCCGCCTGCCCCCTCTGTCCCATAGATATGCATTATGCATGTGGGTATATGGGAATGGTTTGCAAGCATTTAGGCACTTAGGAAATGCTATTTTATCTAGCCAGTTCAGAAAGGAATTCAATATACTTCTGCTCTGTTGACCTTTAACATCGGTAATGAATTCAGTTCTGCCTCTTGGAAGAGAGTGTGAACTCACTCTTTCGGAGCTTAGTCATTAATAAATAGGGCTCTCCCCTACAACAGTGGAAAATCAGATGGATAATGCTTGATATTATCCACACTAGACAAACATTGCTGCTTGTCAAGATGATACACAGGGATTTTTTCCACGTTCAGAAAGAGGGTGGCCCAAGTGGTGTTTCAGAGTTGGAAAAACAGTAAATGGAGTCAGTAAAGATTCTTTTTTAATTTAAAAAACAAAATTCATTTTTATTGCAGTGTGAAGAGGACAAAACCAAGCAGAAGTAGTGCAAGCAAACCTCAAATCAGCAAGGACTCCAAGAAAGTGTATCTTGGCTGGGCAGACTCGCAGACAGAGAACAGAAACAGTGACTGTGAGGCTTCTCTGAGTGCTCGCTGTGCTGTGAAGCGCAGGAGCCCTGGCCTGCTGAAGGACTGCACAAACACAGCTGAGGGCAGCCTGGGCCTCCCTGAGCCAGAGCAGAGAAAGGATGTTCATCAGGGACAGCCAGAGGGGGTTCACAGGCAGCACAAACCTCGCTCTCTGCAGCGGCCAGAGGCAAGGCTGCTCGGTGAGAGCCCTCCGTGCAGCTCTGAGTCAGCGCCGCCGGCTCCTGAACAAAGCCAGAGAGTGACCAGAGCACAGGCTCAGCTCGAGACCTGTGGCTCACAGCGAAAGCTGGAGCACCTCACAAAAGTGTCCACTGAAGGGACTCCTTTAACTGACATCAATACGGAAATGAGTGAGTGTGACGATAATTGTTTGGGTCCATTCCTGGAGGAGACAACACCTCTTCATTCCAAGTTGTTTTCAAAGCAAGATGTGACAGAGACTGTGGTTGACAAGGAGTCATTGACTTTGAGAAAAAACCCCTCCTGGTCTCTTTCTGTGAGCAGCAGTGGAGTGCAGAGCCAAAAGGAGCCAAGCACAGCCCCTGAAGAACTGCCTGCAGTGCCAACACCATGTCTAGAGCTGCGCCCCGTGTCTTCAGAGAAGCTTTCCCAAAAAAGAAAAAAAGATGTGGAAAATGGTCTCGGGAAGTTAAAACTGCGAAGGCTTAAGAAGTCAAAATCTGAAATACTGCCTTGATAGCATGGGTGGTCAGCCAAGGTTGTGCCTAAGCAAAGTGCAGGAAGCAATTCAAAATGATGGAAAACAATAGAAATACAAAATCAAAATTAGAGAACACAATAAGAAAATTTAGTTAACTAAGGATCTTAGTCATTTGGCACTGTAATACAGGTAATCCTTTTAAGTCTTTAGGAATTAGTCATGATTATTACACAAGTCAGCATCAGATTTATAGAAAGAAAAATCTCATAAAATACTATTTACTAAGTACAATTTTAGATTTATACATATTTAGTGCTATTAAAAGGTCAAATCAGCTGCTGACAGCGAAAGTTAAAACTCCTTGTATGATCTGTTAGCAGCTGCAGTTATTTGCTATCTTGCTTGTTTCTGAGCATGTAGTTTATTTTAGTAAAAAATTAACCCTTTCTCTATATTAGAAAGTTATCTTGAGATCACATGATCTTTACAGCAATAAAGCAAATTAAGTTTATTTCAGATAACTCTGTAACCAGGATTATTAGCTGATGATTTGAGGCCCACTTTTTCAGAGAAGTTTCAAAATAACTATACTTTCTGCTTGTGTAGTTTTGATATGAACCTTTAATTCTAGCCCATGTGGATACAAGTCATCATGCATTCAGTCTTGGGGAAGAATGAAGATTTCTTTTATATATTTAGATTTATATGTTTACACCTGGATTGCAAACATTGTTCTTGGGTGAAGTTCATATATAAACATATATGCATATCTTCATGGATACATGTTTCAAAATGAGGCCTTGCTTGTGTGCAAGGGCAACACACTGGTTTTCATGTGCAAGTAACACTAGAGTTAAATCTCATTTTAAGATAAATTTTAATTTCACAGTGCTTGTTCATACTGCTTCTTGAATTTAAATGCTAATGAGCTAAGGAAATGTACCTTTTTATTTCATGCTTATCTTTTAAAATGTGTAGAATAAATGTATAAGCCATTTTCTTTGCTCATTCTCGAGCTCAGTGTGACACAGCCGCTGAGGCAGCAGGAGCGCAGCCGTGTCCGTGGCATGCAGCAGGCCCAGGAGGGACTGCCCACTCTGCCCTGGCCTCCAGGGCTGGGCACAGCTTGGGCACTGGAGCGTAACAAGGATAGAGAGGTGTTTGAGAGCTTCCAGAGGAGGGCATGAGCATGGGGGAGCCCTGTGAGGAGCAGCACTGGGTCTGCTCAGCCTGGAGGAGACTGAGGGGACACCTCACTGCAGCCGCAGCCTCCTGGTGAGGGCAACAGGAGGGGCAGGCACTGATCTCCTCTGTGTGGGGACCGTGACAGCGCCTGGGAATGGCCTGAAGCTGTGTCAGGGCAGGTTTAGCGTGGATATCAGGAAGAGCTTTTCCACCCAGAACCTGGCTGGGAACTGAGCAGGCTCCCCAGAGAAGTGGTCACTGCACCAAGCCTGGCAGAGCTCAGGAAGCGTTTGAACAGTGCTCCCCTGCACGGGTGGGATTGTTGGGGTGTCCTGTGCAGGGCCAGGAGCTGGACTCTGATGGTCCTTGTGAGTCCCTTCCAGCTCAGCATATTCTGTGCTCTGCGATTTTGTGTGAAGTAGTTTAGAAAAATCTCAGTGACATTTACTTACGACTGTGGATCTCCTCATTGAGGTTAAGGACGTGATTCACATCCAGGAGCATTAGAGTTGGTGGTGTAACCCAGGTCCTGATGAGAGTTAGCTGCTCTGCAGCTGACAGCAGGACTCTGCTGATTGTGCAGCTTCCTCCTGCTGCAAGTGATTTCTGCTCTTGCTGCAAATGAAGAAGATTCTGCATGTGTCTGGAAGACATGTTCTCTTTTTTCTTTCAGCTCTTTGGGTGATGTTTCTCAGTGCTTTGCAGTCAGGTTGCAAATCCTTACCCAGCTCCAGGCTCTACTAAAAGCTCTTTCCCAGTACCAGCAAAACCAAGGCTGCAAAGAACCTGGTTTGGAGGAAGAAGAGCCTGAGGTATGTTTGCTGTTGGCTTTTTTATGCACTGGAGATACTGGGCCAGGAAGGGAATAAAAAGCACCTTTTTTGATGGACTTGAAAGAGGAGCAGGGATAGTACATTAAGCATTTATCAGAAAAATGAGAGTAGTTAGAATAATTTGATAGTTTATATTAAAGTCTTAGCATAGACAATTCAAGCATCAGAAACCAGAGGGCAACCACATCTAGTTTTTATCACACCAGTTTTCATCATTTCATCACCACTGTTATTATGTGTGTGTGTGTGTGTATATATATATATATATATATACATATATATACATATATATGTATATATATGTGTTAACCTTATAATTAAAGTTTTAGTTTTAATCTTGACTGAAGAACATACCTGCCTGCACCCTTTCAAATGAAGGTCGTGCTTTTAAAGGGGGCTTAGGTAGGTTAAACTGTTGTCTGTGTAGGTAAGAACACTTGATTTTTCCTTTAGGATATTTTGTTATGTTACTTAAAATGCTGGTTTTATCTCTTTTCTGCTGCCTGGGAACATCTCCCTTTCAAAGCAGTGGTCATGCAACAGTGAGAGATGAAAGGTGATGGAGGGTGTTAGAGGCTGGGGAGTCAGAACAAAGCTGGGCTTTCTCACAGGTCCACGGTGGTGTTATTCCATTTGTCCTTACTGTCTTGATAAGTTGTAGGCTCTGTGCAGCTGTGTATTTTTGAGCTTCATTGCTATCAAAAGTTGTGTGTTGGATCCTCCCAGAAATGCAGCTATTTAGGGAAAAGACTTTGAATTCACAGTCATTTCTGGGTTTCAGAAGGTGTTGCTGCTCAGACCTGTGCTTTCTTTTGTCTGTGCAGCAGGCCTTTTATACCAGCTGGTCTTTTGCAAACCTGGTGGTGCTTTGGCGGTGCTGGGACACAGAGGCTGTGTCTGTGTCTCTCTCCTCTCTCTGCTTCAAGCCCAGGGTCATCTTCTTAGACTTTGCTTTTTTCTTCAACACCCATCCACCTGCACCCAGAGGACTGGCAAAGGTGTGGTCTGACATGCTCTAGAACCACAAATTTGATTTCCTAAATCAGGTTTAGAGGGAAAAAAGGGAACTGGAAACTGAGCTGGAGTAAAATTAGCAGTTTGCAAGTCTTGGCTTTCTATTATCAAATTGCTTCCGAGCAGCACTAGCATACCTTTCTCTAAAAGTAGGGAATACCGAATATCTGTTCTCTTCTGAAGCTGCCATTGAAGCACAGAAACAATATCTTTGGTTCTTTTTTTTATCCTAAACCAGCCAGCTTTGGTGGGTTATTATTTTTAATGAATCATCTGGTTCATTTGGTCTATGCTTTTGCTGATAATGAAACAGTTGTTTCCTAGCGAAACACTCTCTAATGTGTACAGATTGTTGTTTCCATTATTCTTTACATCAAAGCAGTTAAAAATATTTGTTTAGTGGACTTCTGTGGTTAAACACATATCAAAAGCTAGACCAGCCTTTTACATAATCATTTATAAAGAGGAATCAGCTCATGTGAAATCTCCCTTGCCCAGTGCTGGTTGGTAGGAAGGTTTTAAGTATCCCAAGATCTTGTGGGTGCTAAGCTTTGTGCAGGTTCTGGTGTTACCTGCCAGGTAAGCACCCAGACCTCCCTTGCTATAGAAGGCTTTGACCAGGTGAGGTGTTAAGTAGCTTCTGAAGGCATTTCTTTGGTCAGTGTGAACTTCCTTCCCTCTCACTGCTCAGCATGTGGATTGCATTGGATGAGTTGTAATTGGCATTTACATCATCATCTCATTGGCTACTGACTAGAAAATGGTTTCTTCCTAAAGAAAAAAAAAAGGAGGGAAATATTTTTCTGTTTGGAATAAGAAAGATGTGAAGTATAGACTCTCCCAGATTGCATGCTAGAAGTAGGTATCTCTGTGGCTTTATCAGTACCCAGGGAAAGGTTCTCTATTCAAACAGGCTGCATCAAACAGAGGTAATAACTCTGAGCCTTTTTGCCAGCAGTGGGAAGTGTGGGTTGGCCTCAGAAATTAGCTTTAATAAAAGGCACTCCTCACTTCTTTGCTTTGTGCTTTTTTCTCCTTTAATAAACATAAACTCGCTGGCAGTAACCTGGGTGCAGGAGAAGATGAGGGCTGAGGGAACGGCCGCGCACGGAGCCTTTCATCACAGGATATCAAAGCGCTCCACTGAACCTGGAGGGAGCTGGCGGTGCTGCTTCTGACGGCTGGCGCAGCACTGAGGGAAGAGCTGCTCCCAGGGGAAAGCAAACTGGGTAAGGAGCAGCAAATTCTTTCATCAACTCACACGAGTCCTTTCGTCCACCTGTTTCCCCCAGATAGTTAAAGTCGAGCCTGGTAGTGCATGACCTCATCCTTTACACAGTGGCAGTATGGTGACATTTTTAGGTAGGGACTTTTTGGTTCTTTAGTGTTGCCTTATGCTGGGAAACCCTAACAGTTGTGGAAGTGATGAAGTGTCACAAGGCATTTCAGCCATAACCTGGAATTTGTTCAGGAAATTAGCCACAACTCTCCTACATTCTTTACTATCCATTTAAATTATTCCAGAGCTGGGAATCTGCTCCTGTGAGAGCTGACAGTGCATCTTTTGTAAAGGAAAATTTCAGTTTGCTCCCATTCTGTCCGAGTTAAATCTTTTAGTACAGCAGTAGGAATTGGTACTCTAGCTCCATAACTGCCTTATTTGCTGGCATAATAATTATCTTTTTTATTTATGCATCAGATCTTTAAAGAAGACTATCTGGAGCGCTAATTCTAGAGCTGGGCATGCCCCTTTTTAATATTAATATGATCTCATAGTGCTAGAATGAAAGGAATAGGGATTTATTTCTCCACCCTGTAGGGAAACTGGTTGAAACAATTTGCACATCACAGAAGGCGCTGGCTGGCAGATCTGGGCTGGGACTCCAGCCTGATACCGTCGGATCCCGCGTGGCCCTGCTGCTGCCCCAGTGCCAGGGAAGCACTGCTGAGCCATCCAGAGCCTGCACCCCTCTCCTCCTCCTCCTCCTCTGCCCCAGAAACTGCAGTTCAGTTTGCACAGCTTTTTCACTGGGTCTTCCCTCTACTGGGAGAAATCAGCGATCTTGGTAAGCAAGCTCAGTGGGCACTGGCAAACAGTAACCACCACGGCCATTGCTGTCAATGCTTAAAAAAGAGGAAGCCAAAAAATTCTTAAATAGACTCAAATATTCTTGCTTCCGTTAGAGGGGGACGGGGAGGTTACGCAATCACTTCCATCTTCTGGGGAGGCAAAGGCTGAATTGGGTACTTCCCTTGTCAGAACTTCTCATCTTGGCAGGCGCTCCTAAAAACCATGAAAGCTCTGCCTTGTGACTCTGCAGATGGTAGGGCAGCACCCTGGACCTGGGATTGCTGGGAGGCAGGGCTGGATCCAGCCTGGGGCTGGCAGATAAGGAGCAGAAGCAGGCAGTCTTCAAGGAGCAGCAGGGAGCATAACCCAGTACATCTCAGCTTGGCAGGGAGCTGATTAATACCATTACCTCTTGCTGTGCAGGTGTCGGCTGGTGTGAGAACAGGAGGTGTGTCTGTGAAAGGCAGAACGGTTTCACAGGCCCCACCTTTGGGCCCCAGCCTGGGTCACGTTCCCCTGGCCTGAGGGCCTTCGGGTCCCAGCGCTCCCAGCTGCCCTTGGCTCCTGCCGGCACTGCAGGGGGAGCCCTTCCCGAGGCTGGCATTCCCTTCCCGGTGCCATGAATGGATTGTGAGAAGGCTGATGTAACCTGCTCCCTCAGCACCTTTCCCAGGTACCTGTGCGCAAGATGGGCCCTTTCCATGCAGAGGTGCATGGCTTTGATGTGGCCGTGTTCAGCCAGGCTCAACCAAACCCACATTCAGCAGGTTCATTTAGCTGTAGGTACAGCAAAGCTCAGAGTGCTAAGGGGAACCATTTCATTTCATTTCTATTTCATTTCATTTCTTGTATGCTTAAATGGCAGCTCAGGAAGCACACATTTTTCAGTGTTTAGATGAAGAAGGATCCAAAGAACAAACTTACACTACCAGTGGAAACTTCTCCTGACTAAACAGAATGTATCTTCCCTTAGTAGTAGAAGTGTGACCTGGCAAAGTATGATTTCCACAAAAATCAATGTGCCTTGGTATTCTAAGAGGGAAGCCCTAAAGTTCACGTTTCTATTTATTTTCATGGCAACGGAAACCACTTCATGGACCAGCCCCCAGCCTGGTGGTGGATCTGGGCTTTGGGGGCCTGTTCTTGTATTACAGTCACCAGTGTAAGTTGTGGAGCTACCACTGAGATAGGATGATTAATTAAATATACCATAAAGGCAATTGTGTAGAATTTTCTGACTGCCCCCTGTTCAACTTGCATGATTCTAATTTTCCAACACCATGGGATAGTGATGAAGTGAGGAAAATCCATGGGGAAAAGCAGGGTGTGTCTGGAGGAGCTCTGCAGTAGCAAAACCTCTGCACGGAGCACAGGAAAGGCTGGAAGTAAATAAAGGAACCCTGATCTCAGGGCTTTGACATGTTTTGAAGCTTGAGGAACCCAGGTTTTGCTTTCACTGAATCTTCAGAGACCTAAACACTTTGTCACTACATGTACATATTGTTAAATGAGTAAGTCTGTAACTAGAAATGGCCTCAGTAGGTTTTCAAGAAGCCTGAAAACTATTGTTCTCAGAAATAGCAAATGCCCTATTTTAATTATTTTTTGGTTAATAGAAGGCAGACTCTTAGAAATCCCTATAAATTTAAGTATGTTTGAGCCCTTTGGAAGAGGGGCTCAGCTTCCTGTATCCTTGAATTTGAGACCCATGTGAACAGTAGACCGCAGGAAGATGGTTAATTCAACATTAAAAGTATGGGACAGCAGTCAGGGAATAGCCCAGCTTTGCCCTTTGGAGGCAGGTGGAAGATTCCATTATCTTTAAGTAGCTTTTTTGGACATGACGTGTTTGCTTTATTGCAGAGAAGTCAGGGAACAAAGGGAAGTAAAATACTTGTGGGATTTGTTTGATGAGGAATTATTGAAGTGGTCAGCTGAAGCTAATGGTGTTAAATTCTCCTCCAGGAGGCAGTAAACTAAACAGGCTCCAGTACCTGCCCTGTGAGGTGTGTGAGTGTGAAGAGTAAAAGCAGCACCCAGCCAAAGTAGAGTAGCCACGATGGAAATCTTCTAAAGTGAGTTCAAAATAAAAAGTAACACTAATTAGATTTTATCAATTTTTTTTTTTGACAGCTGTAAAAAAAGTACAGAAGAAAGTATTTCTCACTCTCAGGTTTTGTTAGCTTTCAGTGCATTCATATCGCAGCAATCTGTATATAAAATACCTGTTTATTATTACAAACAAATACAGATGCAAAGGCCTAGCCTTGCAGCAGGTTGGTTCAACTATTTTTCAATGAACTTGTTACACAGTTAATTGTTCCTTCAGCTTTGCAGTAGCCCCTTAGCAGAACAGTTTTGCAGCTTCATCAGAACATGGTAAAACCAGAGCAGACCCTGAGCCAGCCAGCCCCTGCCCAGAGGTGGGAGGGGCAGCATTAGTTCAGCATTCAAAGCCATCATGTTGAATACTTTCAGAGTTTATTTTATGCTTTACAAAGCACTTTTTGCCCATTAGAAATCAGCATCATCTATGGATCCCTTCCCATCCAGGTCAGCACTTTGGATCTTGCCTAGCTACTTAGATTTGGTTCCTATCTGGGGGCAGCTCATTGGCCCGTGCAGGGTAAACTCGTTGCACAGGTGCAGCCACAGCACCCTCGGCGCACCGAGGGCCATCGGCCAAGAGGCAGTGAGAACAAGGGACATGCTGCTTTCAGACCTCCTCGGTGCCACGGCAGCCAGAGGGGAACGTGGCATCAGCTACCAAAAACTGACTCCACCAAAGGCAGGGGCAGGGCCTGGAAAGCTCCAGCAGCACCTGCCCCTGCTTTTGCACAACTGACTGGCCGGGAGCGCCTCCAAGCTCAATAATCTCCACGCTCTTTTATGTTTTCATACAAAAAATTTAATAAATATTACTTTTCAAGATTTATTGCCAGGAACAACACATCAAAGATGCATTTTCATATAACACTAATATCACAATACAAGGTATCTTCATGATCTCAATGGTTAACCACTGAGATGACTATGTTTATAAGCCTTTTGATCTTAAACATCGTAATAGCACTTTGATTTCCTCACTTGTTAAGGCGGGCAGTGTAATCTATGGCAAACCTACACAGTGATCTTACTGGACATTCTACTGTTCAAGTATTCAACAACTAGCTTATTAGAATACTCCCTAAATGCAGTAGATTACAAAAAAAGTCAAATCTACAAGTGGTTCAGTATTACATATTCATGGTGAGAAAAAAATAATTAGAATTTACAAAATAAGATTGCTGTGTTTCCAACTTCACACGCTAATTTGATATTTTTAATTACATGCAACCACTCACATTTCATCTACATAAAGTAATAGCTCAGTTTTGTTCCCTTAAACTGCTTCTTAGCAGATTATCTGCCTGTCACTCGGTTTTCAAGTCTAAAGCAGCAAAAAAAATTTTCTAGTCTAATTCTCTAAACTGCCTCAGTCAGTACTTACAAATAGTCTTAAAGTGATACTATGGAAGGTGTTTCAAACGTTTGACATTGTACAAAAACCAGCATCAAGGCATGAAAGCCCATCCTATTAAAAATAAACTATTTTAGAACACCTTAGTTTTGGCATATAGGCAACATGTAACAAGAAAATAAATTCAAAATAGAGAAGCCACGAGCTTACAATGCTATCAAAAACCTTCAACTCTAAACACATACATATAAATAAAAAGGAATGATATTTTAAGGCTCTTGATTATTAAGTTAATAAATCAAATATACACAGTGATTAATAAAAAAAGAATTATTTACATATCTATACAAACTTCTATTTTTGACACATTTTCCTCTTTAAATTCTTCATTTACCAGCAACTGCTGACAAGTTCCCCCCACCCACCCCCAACAAAAATACAATAAAAAAATAAATAATAAACTTATTTTTGATAGTTGCTGTGGTTCCGAGCTGCAAAGGCACTTTCAAATACAGAACTAGTTGTACGTCACCATAAAACCAATATACAAAAAACTCAAATTCAATAAATATAAATAAAATGTATTATTCTAAAGAAACTGTATAAATCAGAACATCTGGCAGAAAAAAAAAATGAACACTAAGGAAGAGCAATAAGGCTATGTAATAAAACCTTATGGAACATTTCTGTGATGGATCAGCTGCAGCTGAATTTACAGGAGGGCACTTTTGACTAGTTTTGCATAGATGTGAAATGCAGCACTTGGTATTCCAGCCAACCACAGCAACTATCATTGCCAGTGTAAGCCAGCTTGTCCAAACTTAAATTAACACAAGGATTCTAAGTAAATAATAGCCTTAGACTCAAATATTACGCAACAGTTTAAGAACTACAAGCTCTTGAGTGCCTTTCTATTGATACTCAAAGGCCCTGCATGGCAGCACCCCACCGTCTGCTATACGATGTACTCCATCCGATTTAGGCTTTGTGCACTTTCCAAGTCTCTGTTGTCCTGTTTATTTGTCCAGTTTGGGTGTTTTGTAGGGGTGCTGTTGGGGGGCTTTTCATCTCTGTCTACCAAAGTGTAGGCTGGCTGCTTGGCAAATCGGGCCTTCTGCTGGTGCTTGTCCATGTCATCCTCCTCCACCTCAGAGTTGTGTGTCCTTATTTTGGCAATTTTAGAGTTTTTGTTTTCGTAGTCTTTAATGGGGACAGTATTTGCTCCATGTTTCTCAATGGGGTTTTTGATCTGGTTCAGCTGCTCCCTGACGTTGTTGGTGGTGTTGTCGTCAGAGGCAGTGTGGGTGTGGCTGCTCTGCTTCCGGCGCTTTCGGATGCACCAGTAAAACACGGTGACCAGGCAACAGATCCAGGCTACTGTCAGCACCGAGCTCAGCAAGGGCACCAGGAAATCTGCAAGAGACAGGAGACAGTTAGTCCTGCTGCAGACCACGGGGGGACACTTGGGGATGTCTCACAGAAAACAAATCTCACTTCTTATGCCTTGTTACTTCCCGCATTTCTCCATGAGGAGCATGGAAGGGCAGCAGCCCTTTTGCCAGTTTTAGCAAACTTGTGGCAAGTTTCTTTAGGGTTTTTAGCAATGAATAGCCCTTGTGTGCAAAGCCTCCCCATTGTCCCTGATGATCAGGGAGTCGCTAGGAGTGTCCAAAGGGAGGACAGGCTCTGCCCTGGCCCGAGGAGCAGCTCACCTGTTCTGCTCTTGGCCGGCCGCCGCTGCACCCTGACCTCGGCGACGGCAGCGATCAGCGTGTTGTTCCCGTCGCGCTTACTGACCAGGTCGATGATCTTATCTGTGATGTCTTTGATGGGGTTTTCATCCTCCCCAATGTCCTCTGCAGACTGCAGGAGGAGGCACACAGTTAACACCACAGCAGATGCACAGGGGAACCTGCTATTTATAAACCTTCACAGGCAGTGAAGGCTCTTGCTGCTGTTCATCTATAACAAACAGAATCAAAGCAAAATGGCCTGCTGTGGGCAGAAACTAACGACTCTGAATTCTTGTCCTCATCCTTAAGAAGACCAAAAACCCCCCGAAAGCAAGAGTATAACAGAGAAGTATTTTACTCCCCCTATTACGGTTGCTCCCAGACGGCAGCTTTCAGGTACACAGATGTACCCAGAATTCCTTTCCTGGTCTTAAAGGGCATCAGGATGGAAACTAAACCACAGGAAGTGCTAACGAAGCCAGGAATTAATATTTTTATGAAATCCACATGTTGCACACATATCTGAGCAATTAACTACTAAGACATTTAAAAATATTCCAGTAATACTTACAATAGCAACATGGATTTCATTATTTGCCAAGTGGGAAGGCTCACAGGTAATATAGATGGAATATTCAACAGAAACATTCTTCAGAATATTCAGATTCCTCAATTCACTGCAAACATGCTCTGTGGTAAGGCCCTGGAGGATACAAAAAAGATGTTGGCTTTTTTAAATACATATGCACACGAACAGACAGATGTAAGATTTGTTTGACATTTTTTTTTTTTGCCCTGAAGTAAGAGTTCTCAGGGGAAAAGGAGGTGGAATTCCCTCCAACCTAGCTTTTTTTTCTTCTGTAGTCACAAAAGCATTTAGGCTGCAAGGCTATATTAATCCTTCTCCTCTTTTTGTTTTCTTTGCTAATGAGGCAGAGTCAGCTTTTGCAGCAGTTTTCCCCATGGAAAACATCTCTCCATGCTCTGGGAATGAGTCTGTGTGTGCTGCAGCCCAGCGAGCTGCTGTTACTCACCGGGGCCATCATTTCTTTGTTGAAGGTGAAGGTGATGTTGGCACAGTTGTCCTGGTAGTAGGAGTCGGAGTTGCACTTGGTCCTGACAGGCTGCTGGTTGGAGGGCCAGCACTCCCCCACAGCAGCACACGGGCGGGTGAAGCAGTGGTCGTCCCGCACAGGGACACAGGCGTGGCCGGCGGGGCACTCGCCGGGGCCCTTGCCGTGCAGCACACAGGGCCGAGGGCCACACCAAACCTAGGCAGGATGAATACTGTGAGAATCCGCTGCCTAGGGCACAGAGGGTGCTGTAAGCCAAACCACAGCACAGCTGTACCTTAGAACAGGTGACCTTTCCATTCACACACTGACAGGTATTGCAGTCGTCATCCCACTTAGTCCCATCTGGCATGACTCGAGCACTGGTAATGCAAGGCCTTCCTGTAACTGAGGAGAGAGCGAACAGAATTATAAGCTAAAAACAGGAAACAAACACCTTTTCAAAGTTCATCTAAACTTCCCACTGAGTTTCTTCTTCAATAAGGATACTTGCTTTAAAAAACAACAGATAGTGTGCCCCAAAACCAACCCCATACAACCACAAACCCACCAATGTGCAATTATACAGCTTTTGCTACAAGTGCTAGGCTCAGCTCTGGCATCTGGAATACCTTCTTGGCATGCTGCACCACTGCGACCCGGGGGGCAAATGCAACGGTACCCGTTAATTTCATCCACACACGTGGCTCCAAAGGCACAGGGCGAGGACTGGCATTCGTTGATGTCTGTGATGGGAAGGAGAGGAAACAGAACAGTTACTCCACAGCATCCTTTTGTTTGTCAGGAAAAAAGCAAACATGGGATAGGAATTGCCTACTGGAGCTTTATGTTCATTTTCTAGTGTCTACTGGGACATGGATTCCTGCTTGCAGCACCAGTATAACCTCAGAAAAGTCCTTTGACGTTTCTGCTGTGTGGCACTAACAAAGATCAAAACCTGACCCCTGTGGCTACTCGAGCTTTCCAGGGCAAGGACATATTCCTTCCTACACAGACACACTTCCTCTCCTCTCCTCTGATGTGTTCCAATTTTGTCCCCCACTAGATTCTTCAACTGATGGCAATGTTAAACCCTTCCCGGCTCTATTGCTGCTGTGAGACTTCTATTCCATGGCTGTTATTAAAAAAAGTGTCCTCCTACCTGTAATTATTATTAAATTACAGGGAAGCGCATACATCACCTCAGGGCTTGGAGGTGGATTATTAATTGACAAGGTTTTTGGCTGGCACACTTTCATCTCAAGCAGAAGTCTGGGCCACACAAACACAAGGGAAGGCTGTCCCAAAGGGCATTTTGCCCACTCGGCTGAACCAAAAGGTTTCAGCTGCAGCTGAAAGACTTTAAATTTCATTCATTTTCAGTGTGATTCCTGCCTTCTCCAAATCTGCTACGGATCCAGGTACAGATAGGGACAACACGACATCTATCACTCATCTGATCTACTACTTAACTCAATTAAGATGATTGTCTTGCAACAAGATTCAAGTGAGACAAGAAGTGAGGCAGAGAGCCATGGGAACACTCACTGATCCTGCAGTCAGGCCCGGCGAAGCCTGGAGCACACTCACAGCGGTACCAGTTCTCTCCATCCACGCAAGTGCCACTGTTGTAACTGTGGACAATTATCACAGACATTAAAAACTGCCACAGATAAAAGGGACCCAGAATTCTAAAGCAACAAAAAGAGCATAGGATAAACATAACAAACTTACCAAGGATGAGGACTGCAGTCGTTTGTGTCTGCAAAGCAAAGACAGACAGCATTAAACATGTAGACTTTGGCTAATACGGCTCTACTGGCAGTAAAGAATGATCAAACTTCCCCTAATGCCCAAGTTATACTTAGCTCAACTTTTACGAAAATATGCTGAAATTCTCTACTAAATTGATTCCAGGCTTGTACCACAAAATTTGTTAACTACATTGTGGAACACATGTATGCAGGAAGAGATCCTTGTAAAGAATCTAACAGGGGGGGAAAAAAGTGGAAGCAGAAAGAGCTGCTCGTAGAAAAAGAATGCAGGAGAAAACAAGACAACATCTGTCTCCACTTAGCTCATTTGCAACTTTCTCATGCCCAGGTCAGGGCTGTATCACATAAAGTCATTAAAAACAAAGATTCAGGTGATGCTAAAGCCTACATCAAACAAGCTTTCCCTTCTGGATTCAATCTTGACTCCAAGGGCGACAGGATGAGCTCATGTTCTCATCATGCAACACTCTGGAAGAGTTCAAGCAGAGCTGACTTACTCTGGGTGCACGTGGGTCCTTCCCAGCCCTCCTTGCAGACACAAGTGAAGGAGTCCCCGCTGACCACACAGGTACCACCGTTGTGACAGGGGTTTGGCAGGCAGCTGCTGTTCCTCGCTGTAACACAAACAACATTTGCCGCTCAGTTGTTAGAAAGCCCTCAAGCCTGAGCCAAGAGGAACAGCTGAGGTCAGAGCTGCAGCGCTGCATCTGCTTCCTGGCGATTGTGCAGGCTATTTACCTATGTTACAAGTGGCTCCTTCCCATCCTGCAGGACACATGCACTTGAAAGTGTCCCCCTCGTCGTAGCACGTCCCCCCGTTGTTGCACGTCGCCTCATCGCACTGGCTGTCACCTGTGGAAAACCCAAACTGTCCTTAATGCTGGTGCTCCCTTAGGGCAATGAGTTCATGCAGCCTATCAGAGCACGTCTGGTATGTTTTGGAAATGCTGAACTTACGGGAGTGGCAAGTTTTTCCTTTCCACCCATTTTTACATTCACAGAAGAAGTCGTTGACCAAGTCTCGGCAAGTTCCTCCATTGTGGCAAGGGTTTTTACTGCAGTCATTAATATCTGGATATGTTAAGGAGAGAAAACAGGCTCAGTAGTGTTTACAGAACTGACAAACACAATGCTTGAAAGGATCCTAACCCACCCCTAATTTTGGCCTGTGTTTCAATTGTGGATTAAATGCCTAAGTCAGTATTTTAAAGTTTTAAGCACTGTCACATAGATGAAGAGTGTTTCACCCCAGTCCTCCAGTTTGTTTTCATTTTGTTTGTAATCTTGTTTCAGTGAAAAGGTCTATTACATAAACTACCCTGTTAGTCAGGCGAAGGAAGCAGAGCGCTCAACTCCTCTCCTGTTCCTGAGATTGACAAAATGCAAGTATGATACGCAGACAGGCCATAAAGTGGCATCTACTAATGCAAAGGGTTTCTTCCCGGAAGTTATCCAAAGGACAGAGCAGGAAACTCAATAGTGAGAGAGCCAGGCCCTAATCCCAGTCCAGCTTTGTAACTTGGGCTTAGTTCCAATACAAAAGACTGGGACTTGGTGGGAGGACCTAGTCCTCTGTGGCCTTTGAAGCAGAGTTTATTGACATAGGTCACTGTCATCTTGACAGTCCCAGCCATTCCTTCCCAATGTTTTCCCAAGAGATTCTTCTGTGTGCTGGAGCATGGATAACTTACTCGTTTCACAATATGTTCCTTCCCATCCATCGCTACAAATACATTTGTAGGAGTTGATGCCATCAATGCAAGTGCCACCATTTTTACAGGGGTTGCTTTCACAGTCATTGATATCTGCAACAATTGGGAAGAAAGAAGAGGATTAAAAAAAGAGGGGAAAAAAAGGTCAGACTAGAAGTACAGTTACTAGGAGTCATTATCTTACTGCAGACTGTTTGGTAGTACTTCCATTTCTCATAATACCCTTTGGAAAGGAAGGGTTATAAGCAAGATGACAAATGAGTAAAAAACTGCACAAGGTGATGAACCTGTCACTATTAAAAACAAAAAATTCAGGAGTCCTTAAGATCCACGTTAAACCCCACTACTAACTCCCTCAGATCTTGTATACATGAGGTTTTCAACAACATACAATTCAAGGCCAGAGGGGTCAGGGCTCTGAACCTTCCCCAAGGCCTAGCAAATTCCACTCTGCCTCGCCCAAGAGGGATATGAAAACTTACAGCAGTTCCAAGGTTCACTGAGTTACAATGAAAAAAAGGGGTCTGGGAGGGAAGGATGGAATCTTTGCCCAGTAAGAGTGGGGGACAGTAAAACAGATTCTCTATTTTGCTCTTACTCTCATGACAGTAGGTGCCGGTGAATCCTTTGTTGCATTCACAGGTGAATTTTCCACCCGCCTGGCTCTTGCACTTCCCGTGAGGACCACAAACGTTGGAAGAGATGTAGCGAACCCCTTCGGGTGTGCTGTTGGAAGCCACTGCCACAGTGCAGCTGTCAATTACTGCAGGAAAGCAGAGACCCACATGAGAATTACCCATGCAACCCAATTCCTCAAGAGCAACATTTTCACTTCCAGCCACGGACATTTAGAAGACACTTGTGCCATTGAGTCATTTAGGTTGGAAAAGACTTTTAAGACCATCGAGTGAAACCATAAACATATGACTACAAATATGTTTGCTGCTTTAAAATAACATTGGACTCTGCCAACCGTGCATAAAATAATCATAGCATCTTATTTGATGATTGCTGGAACACATCCACGGCCTGGAATAAATGCATCAGGCTATTTGCTACCTGTGCTTTCTGTCCACATGGACATAATGCTGTCTTTAATAGCTGATACTTACAAATATCACTTATCTTTTCACACAGGGAGAGGCCTAAGGCAGAGGGCAAAATTCAGCCTCCTTATAGCAGAGCTACTGCAGTGACTCCCCTGCTGGAGCTGAATTAGGGCCCCAGTGAGGGCAGGGTAGGAACCACTGGCAGCCACAGCCCTTCACCCCCAAAGCAACACGAACCTTCACACGGAGTGGTGCGGCAGTGATCCTTCAGGTGGGAGCAGTTCTTCCCTTCGTAATCCTCGGGGCAGTTACAGAAATAGTCCATGGCAAGATTGAAGCACTGGGCGCCGTTCTGGCACGGATTTGGCTCGCAATAGTCTATGTCCAGCTGTAAGCAGAGCACAGAGAGGGAAGGGAAATGGGAAGGGGGGGGGAAGGGAGCGAGGGAAAGCTGAGTGAAAGAGGTTTATCATGGCTTTCCCTCACCACGACAGGCTGACATTGTGGAATCTGACCTTTTTATCTGCGGCCTCAAAGAATCATTCATAGCACACAGAGTTCAGTCCCGCTCGCCACTATTGCGGCAGACAACTCTCGATATTAAACTGCCAAAGTTAATAGTGAGAGCTCCACAAAGCCTGACGTGCAAACTCTGTCGTCTGCTTAACAAAGAGAATCCTCCACAGCCTGTCAGGGGTTTGTTGGTTTCTTCCCCCGCCCCAATATATATTAATCAAGCAGTTTCTTGGCAGACTGACAGCGATATCAAGTAAAACTTTATACTATGCTTCACTGGATGCAAGGCATTCCGTGCTCAGATCCGGAGCGTCGGAACAAATGGCACTGGCTGAGGGCCTGCCTTTCACCCGGCCTTCTTACCTGACAGAGGTTTCCTGAGAAACCAGCGGGACACAGACATTGGAATCCATTGATTTCATCCTGACAGTGACCCCCATTCATGCAAGGGTTACTTGCACATTCATTGATGTCTTTCTCACAGTGATCTCCTGCATAGCCAGGTGAACAGATACACCGATAACCATTAACCAAGTCCTGGGAAAGAACATAAAAAAGTTTCAGAGTTAATGTTGTTCCTCCTTTGATATATTCTTATTAAGAAAAATAATTTTTTAAAAGTTTAAAAAAAAATTATCTCAATGTCCAAAATATTTAGAGGGGGAGAAAACCAAACACACACACAGACCACCCAGTCCCAGTTCACATTCTGAATTTCCAGGCAGAATACATTAATTGACAGGTTGAAGGGAAGCGCCTGCATTTCCAGCAGGTAGTTTGCACAACCACCAGCTCGTTCACTGGTGACATTGGCAGTGAAAATGAGTCATTTATTGAAGTTATATTTTTTTTCCCTTACTGTTCTACAGACATATCTCAACATGCTGTAGCATGACATAGGCCCTCCCCCAAGGGGACATGACCATTTGCACCAGCTATTTGCTATTTTCCAAACTTTTTGTGCTTAGGTTCAAATGTTTTAGTTACCGTTGCAAGCCTTGGAGAAACCAAGGTAAAACAAGAACAGCTTACCCGACAGGATCCTCCATTCTGACATTGTCCACGACAGTCGTTAATATCTGCAATAAAATTAGCACAGTTAGAAGGCAAAAATATATTTACGCTAGATAGAGAGTTCAGGTCTCTCTAAAACTGCAGCTAGATAAACTTTTTGTCAAGTTTCCTGCATGCCTTCCTTGAGATAAGGTTATTATAATGGGTGGGAAACCTTTCGCGATTCTTCTAGGAGAGGCAGTAAAACTTCACATCATTGTTTTAGTCCCTTTATCAGAATATAGCTATGGTACAGGCTAATGACTTTGATAAAATTGTGTATTTTCATTCGGCACCAACTACTCCCTTTCTAAAAACATCAACTGCTGGGGCTCTGCCCAGTGTTTAAATTGAGCTCAGAACTCAGGGGCACATATGCCCAAAGAGCTGGCTGTTGACAAACCCAAGGGTATGGACACTTACTTATATCACAGTTGTGGCCAGACCAGCCAGTAATGCAGTCACAGTAGTAGCTGCCAATCAGGTTCCTGCAGGAGTTGGCATTGACACAGGGCTTGCCCTCACATTCATTGGCATCTGGAAAACCAAGGGGAACGTTCAGGGGGGAAGGGAGAAGCCCACACCCCAGCAATAACCAGCAGTTCCTCCAGAGCTAAGAGGAACTTGCAGCATACAGCCGGGATTAGCGTGACTTGAAGGAACAAAAGTCAATCATCATCGGCCTCTGAAGGCTCTTTCAGTTTCTCTGCAATTAGAACATACAGGCTACGCTAATTATTTCACAATTACCCAGGCACTCATTAAGAGCAACTTGCCCCCACACACGCATCTCAGCTGAGCATTCTGAAGGAGGAATGCTGCAGCCTGGTCACTGGGATGAGTGTGTTGTGTAAAGAATGCAGCCAGCTCACTCTCCGTGAGAGTGAGATCATCCCCATTTTGGAACCCAGCTGGGAGCTCCTGGGTCTGGAGGAGTTGACATGGTTGAGGAGATACAGCAACTTTCTCACAGGGCTAAGGGAGAGAAGCACGTGTGGGGGCGGGACTGGGAGGCACAACATGCAGCCTCCCCACTTCAGGGCAGTTCTGGTTTGAAGGATGTCTCTGTTAACTATTTCCTTCAAGTGCCAGCATGCAGAAGCAAGGTGATGGAAGCCACACTGCTCTTGGACGCTGACCTAGACCTCAGTCCTGCAAACAGACACTGAAGGTCTTCAATGTGCCAAAATACATCCACAGGCTTCAGAAACATGACCATGAGTAATGCAGGACCACGATCCCTTTTGTATTTATCTTTTCCAGCTCTGGAACAACACTGGATGAAGAGAAAGCAGTTCTTACCTAGCTGGCATGTTTTGCCAGTCCACTGAGGTGGGCAGATACACTTAAATCCATCAACTAGATCTTGGCAAGTTCCTCCATGACCACAGGGATTTGGAGAACAATCATCAATATCTGTAATGCAGAATAAGGAGAGGCTTAGCTCCGCTACCAGACTGACAATGGCAATAACTGACAAGTCTGACAAATGGTTGCTGCTACTCAGGTTTTCCCTGAGGAACAGAAGAACAACAGGACTTCTACTTGGAATTTACAGGTTATCTTTGATTTCAGCAAAAGCCTCACTTAAAGAGAGGAGTAATGTGAAAAAGGGATTCAATGCACAGGGGGAAAAGTTTACCCCATGGCCTTTTTGCAAATGGAAGTCCTATTTGGATCCAGCAAGATCCTCAGAGCAGCATTTTTAACAACCTGCTAGAATGCTACAAAAATCCAGCATTCCACTTCTTTCAGGAGGCTTTGGGCTATTCCTTCCCCAGTAAGCTGACAAAACCCCTGGCACAAGCAAGGGGGAAGAGAGTGCACAGGGGTGTAAATGGCTGCTGAAAGCAATGCCCAGGCTGGGAAAGGTTAAGTAGTCTGCCCTGTAAGGTGATGAGGGATTAGAAGGACTGATCAAAACCAGCAAACTGACACATTTTGAATAAACACTGCAAAGGACTCACTGTCAGTGCAGGTCGGTCCAGCCCAGCCAGGAGCACACACACATTCAAATCCCGTGGATGTCTCGAGGCAGCTTCCCCCGTTGTGACAAGGGTCGGAGAGGCAGGCGTGCTCCGCTGCACGGGGACACAAGGACATCAGGCAGAGGCCACAGCAGTGCCACCACAAGCCACCCCTGCTCCTGCAAGAGCCAGGAGTTTCCAGGCTGGCAGAAAGTCTCGCCCCAGCTAAGCTCACCAGCACACCGACTGGCACCTGCTGGGGCCACGGCCACACAGTGACTGCCCCAGTGAGCAGAAGGCTGATGTCCAGAGACACCACACAGTCATGACAGAGCATGAGAACAGGAAAGGCTGCATCTTTGTACCCAGCCCTGGCTGGGTATGCTACAAACTGAGTTTTTCTCCATCTCATACAGCGCATCCAAAACCAGGCACCAAAAGCTGGCAAGAATTAACTGTCAGGTGGTGCTTAATCTCAGCAGCTCCAGCCAACACTTACCAATTTCACAGTTCTGTCCTGAGTAGCCCTCAGGGCAGGAACATTGGTATTTGTCAGGGCCAGTGTTGCTGCAGGTACCACCGTTCAAGCAGGGCGGGTGGGTTCCACAGTAGTTCAGATCTGCAGGAGGGGAGGATGTTAAAGCCAGGCCGGAAGGTTGCAGGAATACCCCACATGCTTTGTTGTGCTTTCCCAGAGCCTTTACAGAATGCATGCCCACAGAGGAGCGGGACAGGACGGGGACATGCTAAGGACAGATGCTAACCATGCTGAAGAGCAGCGGGCCGAGGGCAGGAGCTGAGGGCCAGCGCGCTGCCAGCACGTTTCAGCAGCTCACTGAGCCCCACGAGCACAGTCTGCCAGCGCTGACACCCCGTGGGACACGGCCCTCTGGCGTTAGCATACCTTTGTCACAGAGCTGGCCACCCCAGTTGGTTTCACAGAGGCACTGCCATGGTTCAATGCAAGTGCCATGGACACATCCCGGGTGTGGAATGCACTTATCACAGTACTGGCCTTGCCATCCATACTGACACCTTCAGTAAAAGAGCAAAAAAAAGGGAAAAAAAAATCAGAACAGGGAAAGAAACCCAAACTCATCGTAACTGCCTTGTGTAGATGTGAGTGTGCAACTCCAAAGCTTGAAGAAAGGCTGGGAAGTGGGGGAGAAGGGCAGGATGAGGGGAGGGGAGTAGCTATTCAAGGATTGTTTGATGGTTTCTTGTAAACAAACATTTTGGTAGTTTTGCCAAGGTCTCTGTTGCCGGCCTCCTGACAAAAGAATAACTGTTCTGAGAAAACCAGCATGAGGCCATTCAGCACAATAACACTCTTTTGGAGCCTCATATAAATGTGGCAGAGAGGGTGGGTGTGCACTACAAATCAATCTCTGGACTTTGACAGGGTGCTTTATAAATTGAGGGGGGGAAGAAAAAGTCAGTGGAAACAATAGTTCTGCAGAGATCCTCATGAATACAAGGTTCCAGGCGATTCAGCCACGCTGGGTTTGCAGGAAGACAAACAAAACCATAAGCAGCAACTCTGAGCCCTTGGCAAGGCAGCAGCAAAACACGAGGAGTTCCCTGCTCTATCAGAAGGCAGCCTTATTCTGAATGCAGACACACACAGGGCCAGCATGGACTGGGCCACAGTCGGCGATGAAGAGAGCACGGCAGGGCTTTACACGTGCTCAGAGATCAGCTGTCAGTGTGCTTCTGGGTTTGATTTCTGCTAATAACCTCTTTGCTGGGAACAACTAAATCATGTCCAATTCTGAGAAACACTCACGTCTGGAGAATTTACTACTATTTGAATTCTTTACTGTCACCAGCAATGAGCTACCTGAATTCTCTACTTAAAAGGAAGATAGATGTTCTTTCGAAGTAAAGCCTCCTTCAGGGAAAGCTTATTTTTGCTTTCATTTAGTTCTCACTAGCAAGACCAAGGATCCATCATATTAAAGTGAATCTATAGATAGGAACAAGCAAAACAAGTTGAAAATGAAAAGCAAGGGCTTTTTGAGGTACTGTATTTCATTAACAGGTCCTGAGAGTAATTGATCAGCAGCAATTATGCACTAAGCTGTCACTAAATTATGAAAACAAACCTCAGCTCTACAGAAGTCAGCTAAGCTTTCTATTTGTAAAACCCCCCACCATTCTTCTGCTGGCAATTTCTTCTCATGGGAAAAAGCCAGAAGGATCTATCCAATGGATAATCACACACAGCCAGTGGTAAGTCTGACTTCCCTTCTAAAAATCTCAGGTGACAAACTGCATCCTAATTAACTTTTTTTCTTTAATAGCTATCACAATAGCAGCCTTTTCAAAGTCAAGGGGAAATTCTTATTAGCGTGTGTGTTAAAAAAAGCCAGTCAGTGCAAAGAACATGAAAAAACCCAGATAAGGCAAAACAGCCCCCCTCAAGTACCTCTTGGGAAATCCTTCTGTACAGGGCATGTACTGAGAATGCACAAAGATCAAAATTTAGGACCAGACCCTTTTAATTTGTGTTGCATACAAAGCAACTTGCCTGTGAGCTTGCACACAAGTTGAACTAAGGGACCTCACCTGCAAAAGCAGGTATCCAAATTGAGGATTGATTTTACCCCCATCAAATCAAAGTGGTAGTGGGTTTTGTTTTCTTTAGAACAAGTGTAAAAATAGCAAAATAATTTATAATCCCCACACCACACAGGAAAAAAAAAATAATGAACTTTAGAGCCAAAGGTACTACTTCAAACATCAGCTTCAAAACATAACAAACAAAATTGGATAAGGCTATGGGCATGTAGGGGAAAAAAAAAAGGGGGCATATCAATTCCAGAGAAAGAGTCACAGTACTAACTGAGGTTTAATAATATGTATGCAGCAGTTTCTCATGAGAAATTTAAAGTTAACTTTCCTTGTATAGTGATTCATGAGTAAAAAATGGTTTAGTTGGCCGGCCTGCATTGAAGAAAGTGACTGGCAGGGAAAGGGAAAAGGATATTTTAAGAACATTTGCAAGTTGTCTGTTGTACCAGAACACAGAGCAGTTTCTGCTCGGATGTTATTTTTAAACCCTGTTGCATTTGTAGCATACAGGCTATATGACTCATCAAAACTTAAAAGAAAATAAAATCATGTTTCTGTGTTCACTTTAAAGATAGTGGTCTAACTTGGCAAGCAGAAGTTATCTGAAAGCACCAGAAGGACAGCATTGTTTCAAGACTATGCAAATCAAGTGTGGGAAAGTTGCACCTTAAGTAAATAAGAGCACTAGTGCATGTCTGGGCAGTGAGTGGGAGGCAACAGACTTAGAAAGAGAAAGGGAAGAAAAAAAAATCTGGAAACAAAGCCTGTTGTTCTGACTAGGAGACAGCAACCCCTACAAGGCATGTTTATTCTGATGACAGCAGCACAAATCACTGTTAGCCCTGACTGATATGCTCCTCTCACCATCTGCCCCCCTCCCCCCCCCACTTCCTACTACTTGTTAGGCTTTTTTTAATTAAAAAAGATTTAGATTTGGTGCTCTGGGGGTTAACCAGCTTATATCAGTGCTGCTGAACATTAAAATCACGGTTCAACTGACAACAGTTCATCCCCTGGCTGGACTTTCACTTTGCCACAGCTCTGTGAGGATGAGAGGTTACTTTCCACCTCACTTTCAGATGGTTCCCTGGTAATTTCTTTTTTGTTTTGTTTTGAAGAATGAATTACAGAAGCAGAGAAAATGAATGAGCCACTACAGCTGTTTAGGCTGAATTCTTATAGAATAATCTGCCAGACACTCCAGATCCAGTTCCTGTAGGAACTCTAGTCCACTTCATGCAAAGGTTTCCAGCAACACAGGATCCACCAATATGCCTGTTAGGCAGAAAAAATTACTTTCTATTCCTTCAAACGTCTGAGTCTTATTTAGAAGTACCCAAACTTCATTTTTAACCCTTCCTACACAGGATCATTATGAATATTTTTGTAACCTCAGAAGCTCTCAGTTGTAAACAGAAATGATAAAGGGTTACATGCAGCAACTTGGAACCTGCCCGTTGATAAAGAATGCCCACATTTAATATTCACTGCCCCTCTAAGGGTAAGGGACAAGACTTCCCTGTGCTGTAAATATGTGCTGCATACTTTAAGGCATTCCAGTTATTTAATTGTTGGGTTATGGATAAAATCTGCTTTCCATTGTCTCCTTGCCAGGACAGAAGGGACTTCAAAGCACAGCAACAAAATTCGGCATTCATCAGAGCCCACTGACAAGATTTCATCCCAGCCATTAACCTCTCAGCACTCGGAGCCAGGCTCACAATGGGAAAGGAACCCAGAGATTTAACTAATCCCATTCTAAAGAATGCTTGACTTTTGCCTACTGATGGAAGAAACCAGGGGGTGGGAGGGAAGGAGGGGGAAACACTGAAAGGGAGATGAAGAGAGAAAAGCCACACTGTACTTCAGGCTTGGAATTGAAAAAAAACTATTAATCAGGCTGTTGGAAAAAACATAGCCACCAAACATTTGCACTATTTATGCAGAAACAATTAGTTAGTGCTCATTAGGCAGCATTCACACGATTTATCCCATAGCCCCCTCTCCCTCAGTGCCACCACTTCACAAACCAAAAGCTTCTTAAAATTATCAGTGCATTAAAAGCCTGCTCCCCCCCCCCCCTTATTCTGGGCAAGTCAGCATGAATAATGTGTCTTGCTCAAAACCACAACTTCCAAAACGCCCTCCCTCCCCAGTCCTATTGTGCTTAGCATCACTTGTTTAATTAGTTGGGGAGGGGTGGGGGGAAAGCAAGGAGGGATAGGAAGCATTTACCTGCACTCTCCTGGAATTGTGCAAGAACCATGCTTGGGGCTACATCCCTGACGACAAATAGCTGTTAAAACAACAAAAAAGGAGAGTATCAGCACACTGCCCGCTTCCGGCGCCTCCACACTCGTGGGAAAGTTTTAATCTCTAGCAGCACTGTAATCCTGCTGAATCCAAGCTTTTAACCAGTATCTCCTATCAAGTCTACCGGAAGGAAAACCAAGGAAGGTGTCTCCCTGGGATAGGAAATCCATCAGCTTTTCCTTTCTGTAGGAAATCTGTTCCTCTGACTTTGCAGAGGGATCACTCCTAGTACTGTTCAAAGAGCTGTTTTCACGTGGCAGAAACCATCGTGCCTTGCAGAGCTCAGGTCACTTGGAGTCTACAGGATTTCTTCTCTCTCTTTTGCAGGTGATCTGGACCACTTTCCCTGGCTTTACACCTAATTCAAAGCAGCTTTTAACTACTCTGGATTTAGTTCTGGCTGTATCTCTGAACAGATGGGATAGCAAGATGAGCAGTAATTCAAATTGCAGGTAAACTCAGTCATTAAGAGAAGCTGATCGTCTGTTCCTAAGTCGTGCTTTCTCCTTCCCCAATTACCCAGGTAGCAGCCATTCCCTAGTAAACATGTTGAATATGATCTCAGGTGGAACAAACAAGCCTGAGACTTTTCAAACACCAAAGCTTTACACTTGCCAGGTCAGCTCTAAAACAAGTCTCTCCTTCCTGCTTGTCTTGAAGTTCTGCACCAAAGGGGAAATCCTTTTTGAAGTCAGCAGCAGAACTCCCATTGAAGTCAGTGGGCTGGGTTTTCTTCCCAAGGGCAAAGATGTGGATAATCAGAGAAAGAATACATCTGCTAAGTGCCCAGGCCTCTCTCCAAGACTTCTCTGAGACTTCAAGGCAAGGCAGAAACTACTCTTCTCCTGCCCCCAGCTCTCTGTGGAAAGAGCTGATCACTGTCCCATCAGTCCGTAGCCCCCTGTCTGCACAATCTACCACCCAATGCAACCTGGACAGGCCGCCCTCAAATCCCTCCCAGTGCCCCCGGTCTGCAGGCCGAGCATTTGTCACAAACCTTTGTTGCACTCAGGTCCCATCCAGCCTTCGAGGCAGGTCTTGTTGCCGTTCTGGTCACAGGTGTGGTGGGTGAAGAAGTCGTCCCTGGGCCGGCAGAACTTGTTGCAGCCGAAGCCGTAGTAGTGCTCGGCGCAGGTGACGCGGATCTGGTACTCGAAGTGCGCGGCGCCCGCGTTGTGCTTGAGCGTCTGCCACTGCCGGCTGGGGTTGATCATGCCCGAGTGCGACGCCTTCTCAATGATGCGGTCGGGGTCTGCAGGCACGGACACGGCAGCATTACCCTCCCTGCAGCTCTGCCCACTGACCCCACAGCACAGCTCTCCCGCTTTGCAGGGCGGCCAGCTGGTTTTATTAACTCTGCTTCAGACACTCAGATAAGGCTGCCCCGGAGCTACAGACCATTAACTGAAACACACATGCAGCATTATCAAACTGAGCCAAGCTCGAAATCAAAAGGCACTGTTCAGTTACTGCCAATCGCTTACCCCTTCTGCAGCATAAGGGCATCCACTAAGAATTCATACAGTTCACGACTAAAGAAAATTCAGCTCCAACACACTGGTACAAAATGTGTTTTCCCCTGCTCCTCCATTAATGGCACTAGTTTTGTTTTCAACTGGAGCATTTACAAAAACAACATACTACAATAGCCTAACAAAGCCACATCCACAGGCTGAACACCGGCACTGCCAAAGGTTTGCAGCCTTTTCCTTATGTGTAAACACTGAATTGAAAACTATCAATTTCAGCATTCAGATGACATGGGCAATCTCACCAGATTTTGGCTGACAAATACCATGAAAGCCCTGTCTTCAGACAGCACCTGAGAGTACAAAGTCAAGATGACCAGAGCTCAAAGCAGAAGACTCAAACTACTGCATATATGTGCTATGGATCCCCTTCCTCTCTACAGAGCATTTTACAGTTTAGATTTGCACTTGACATTTAGTTCTGGCAAAAGTCTTCTGGCTTTCAGAGCCATACAACTGTCTGAATTATGGCTTGAAATAACAATATTTCACATTTGCTTGGAACATTGTATATATCTGTGGTATTTCACTTTGTAGTCCAGGTCTTGTGACTTAAACGATCTGACGCTGCCTTGCGACCTGCTGCTACCCAGCACTTGACTGCTGAGTGAAAGTTTATCGTACAACAGCCAAAATATCCTCACAGACTGAGCTCAAAACCAACAGTGAGTACATGGGAGCATAATCCAGCGACAGGAGAATTTGAGGTAGGAAGGCAGTTTGCCAGTGATGTGTTAGCAGCGTGTGAAGTACTGGCACCTCTGAGTGTTAAGAATTCAAATGTACTGATGTGCTACTTGTTGTTCCAACAACTACAAAGAACCTTCTGGGATTTTACATAAGGCAGAGCTGAAGACTAATGAAGTCTCTACTAAAGCCATAAGATGACACATGGGCAGTTTTTAATCTAAGATACTTTTAAATGTATTGCTAAGGACCTTTGATTTGCAGCTTTCAAAAAAAAAAGAACTTCCTGACAGACTTCTCAAGCCTCAGATACCATTATGGATCCACCACTGGGTCCTGCCTGCTTGCCTGCAGTCCTGCAGTTTGGAATGAAGTCAAAGCTCTTAACAAAAGAGTGTCAAGACTCAGATGTCGTGAGCATCTGCCTATTTTTGGGGGCATTTGTGACTTGAGACTACAGCATTCCTTAGGTGTTAACAGTGCGAAATTAAGGGCAACAACTTCTTGTTCACCTTCTGGTATTTCTGGTTCTATAATATTTTTCCATTTAAATCAGTTTTTATTATTCATTGGCACTAAGCCCCCAACTCCACAACTATGTGTCAGACTTTCAAATGCAGGCAGGCCTTTATTAATTTAAATCCCATTCACAGGTAATGTGGATGCCTGAGGACCTTTCCATACTGGTACATCCAGAGCAACATCACTGCTCTGTGCTGTGCAGGTGTAAGGCTCTTAGATCTCATCAGCAAGATTATTGACTAATTCTGAGAGGTACTTAAGCAGATGCATATCTGCTCGGCTTGAATGGGGCTAGTCTGGCAATTACAGTTCCACTCATGCGTGCTGGAGATGGCTCTGCTGCACTTGCCAAGATTACACTCCATGCACAGCACAGCTGGAAAGCAAAGGCACTTCCCCAAACACCGAGTGTGCATAAGACATCCTGCTCCTTGTGAGTAGAACAACTTTATCCTCTCCTGCAAGTGGCAGAAGAAAAGGAGAACGACACTCAATGTAGTTTTGCAAACCAGCCCCCCCACCTCCACCCCCACACTCATTCTTGCTTTTCCAGTCTTTTCCTGTTCCCCCTTGGGAACATACCACTGACAACTATTTCAGTCCTTGGCATCAGAAAGGGAGCTGCCTTGAAAAAGTGATCTTTCCTTCTGCCTCTGCTCTTCCATTCTTCTCCTATCTGCCAGCTCATCAGGAAGCCTGTCCTTGCTGTAGGTCTGTGACCTCTCACTCCAGCCATCAGCTCTTCAGAGACCTTAACCACAGCCTGAACTCAAATGGAAACGCCCTTTTAAGCCCACTGGACTTTCATTTTTTTTTTGCAGGTGCTCAGATGAAACCCAGCTGCAGGTTCCCTCTGGATTGGGGATAAAATGCCTCCCATTGGATACACATTTTAAAGCTACCCCCATCCAGCTGAATTCAAACACAGCCTCACGGGTTTAAGCTCCCTTTCCATTAGCCAGCACCCACAGTTTTCACAATGAAGCACTGGCATGTTCCTTCTTGCACTGGAGCTCCTCCACCCTTGCCTATTCCCACCTGTCAGAGTGCACTTACACAAGGGTGCTGACCCAGACTCCAGGGGAGGCATTGCAACAACCCTGCCATTCCTAGCCTGCACCAGCCACACTTTCAGCTTCATAGGAAGCACTCCCAACACTGCAGAATGGTTAAGTAAATAAAAAGCAGCAGTCAGCCAGGCTTGAGACAAAGGGATCTTCTGAACTCCACTGCCTTCATCTGACTCAGAACCCCATGCTTTGATAGAAAGGTTAGAGGAAGCATTAACCCATTAGAAATTGATGAAGTGGAAGAGAGAGGCTTTCTGTACATCTCGGGCTTCCGCTCCACACTCCACTGTCAGAGACTCTGTTGGGTTTATTCACTTCTTGTGGCTGCACTTCAAAGCCATAAATCCCTCTTTTTATTCAGTGGGCAACTGTATCAAAGGTTTTAGACACAAGGAAATGAGCTATTTTGACTGCCCACCTTTGCCTTTCAGTGCTCCAATGTCTGGCAATTATAACTATGCAGCATCAGGAAGCAAAAAACAACAACAAAAAGAGCCCAGACTTCTCTGAGCAGTTTGGGTGGCCAAGGACAGCACAGTTATTTTTGAAAGTCTTTGTTTCAGACAACTTCCAGCCACGGCTTGGTTTACATTGTGAAGTCTCTTATGCCCGCCTGGAATTCACATGCAACTGATACCAGTAATTTACAATAGCTCTTTGACACAGTTTGAGATGCAATGTCAGCCCATTAGCTTTATGTATGAAGCAACAGTAGCAAGATGGCAACCAGACAAGAACCAGAGTAAGAAAACCATTTGAGTTGAATCTTGGCTCCAACAAAGCACAATTCTCATCAACTTCAACAGGGCCAGAATTTAACTGCAAGCCACTCTTGGAAGTGAGACAAGAGAGAGTATGTGGTAAAGGAACGTAGGAGGAGTGGAATGTAAGGGGGGAAGGAAGCATCCACTGGAGGATTTTCTAACAACTGCATTGATCAGAGGATGCTTTCAGAGCTATTGAAAAGTCACACAAGGCCTACTAAACCCACTTTTATTGTTGAGAGCTCTCATGGGGTCTTTACGATTCAGTGGCAATTAGGGCAAAAGAAAGTCCTGGACATCAAAAAACCCCACTCGTCTCATTATATGATGACAATTGTTTTGTTGTAATCGTTTTCTTCACTGGTTCTACAAGCCTTACTCCGCAGCTCTGGGAAAGCTGACTAAGTCAAGCCGTGCAGCACAAAGGAGAAGTTTTGTGCAGTGCAGTGACTGGAGTGACCGACAGATGGGTAAGTGACAGCAAAGCTGGAGCAGGAATGCAGATCAGGAACATATGCAAGAGCATGTCTGCACTTGGTCTAATGCACTGCTGAGAAATGAGGCAATTTTGTCTGAAGACAATTGTACTTCCAGAACATGAAAGCAAAGAAAGGGTTCATTGTGTAGCTTTGGAAATGAAGTTGTTTCATGAAAAAAGATGAGCTCTAATAATAGTAAAAGTGGCAGAGACCCAGTCTGAAACAACTCCCAGATCCTACTATAAACAAGACTTTCATTTTGAATTCAGGCATCTTCCATTTTTAATATTTCACTGCTGCTGCATCATCTACTTTCTTCTCCATATAACTCTATATCCAGGAAATCCCCCAGCCACTGCTCCATGGCTGTGCTGGGGTAGAGTCTGAAATCACAGGTATGGCAACAGTGCTGAATGGGGCTGGTTGTGGCTACCCCTGACAGGCCATGAGATTTGTCTCAAGCAACAACTGCTTTTCTGGAATGAAAAATTAGCAGGACACCCCATGTACATCTAAAAAAATGTAAGGAGCACAGAGTAGTTCCCAAGCTATGCTCCCCTCACCAATTAAAACATAAAAGCACACCACTGCGCACACTTGTCCAAGGCCTCCCTCTCACGAGGCATGAAGCCCGTTTCATTCCTGCACGGCTGCCACCTCAGCACTCCAAAGCAGACTGCAGGAAGCTCTGTAGGATTTCTGGAAGATGGAGCACAGTGCTGCTGCCTGCCTGCTGAAGGAAAAGGCCTGTTGTGTCAACAAAAGCTTTATGAGTTGAGATTCACACTCTCTCCTGTGGCTTTTACCACACACACACTGTTAAAGCCCTAGGTTGAAATAGAGCTGATTTTGCCCACCTCCTTGAGTAACAGCAGGCAAAAAGCAGAACAGCTCATGTACCAAGAGACCCTGTGCAGCTTCCTCTAGCCACGGGAAAAGCTGAGCAGAACGGTTCTGAAACCAACCAGAGACATTCCAGGGGAAAGATCCCCACCCTTGATTTTCAGCCAGCCCTACCAGGTGGTATCTGGTAAATGTTTTTTCAGCCCCTGCATACAAACCCCCAGACATCCAACTCCCAAGGAAGAGCTTGTAGTAACTCCTCTTTCTCATCTAGTCATTAGATGGATGTGGGTATCAAATCTTACACAGATTTTAAGTTGTTTTCTTTTTTTAAAGCAGTACATTCAGTTTTGAGATGTGCTTATAGAGTTTATAGAGAGGTCTCAGGCGAACAAGACTTAGGCTTCTGAATATTGGTCCTAATTAAAAAGAACAAAACAAGACCAAAGAACCAAATAAAGAAACCTGAAGAAATCCCTTGGCTTTTACTCTCCCAGAGGAGAAAGAAGGAATTAACAGCATCTATTTTTAGGCATCACCCTGCTGGTGCCTAGGTGAGCCAGCTACTCACCCTCTGCAGGCAGTGTGAGTGAGACAGGCTGCTGCAGAGCCTGAGGAACTGCTCCGAGCTCTTTGGGGGAGAGCTTTTCCCTCTCCTTGTGCTCTAGCTCACAGCAGCCTGGGGAGGCTCCCAGAGGCCTCCCAGTGCCCGGGACACACAGGTGTCAGAACTAAATAAGCCAGAGGAAGGAATACTTACTTGTGGAGTTATCATTGTAATCCCACGCCTCGACAAGCAGTGTATAGGATCTCTGCAAAAGAGAAATAAGAGTTAGTTTCAAAGCCACACATGACTAAGGGAAAGAAAAAAAACCTGTCAACAATTTTAATTAAAAAGAAAAATTCCGGTCTCTACCCCAAAGCAGATACTTGAACACAGAAATAGGTAAAAGATTATGCTTGAGACAAACATGATCTTCTTGAAACCCAGTAAGCTACCTTATCCAGTCTGACTTAGAAGACCTTTCACCTTGGATAGCTCATCTTTGTCATCATTAAAGCATCTTATGTACTTAACCAGGAAGCGCAGCCTTTGACACTGCACTGCAGCCGAAATACAGCATGTGGGACAACTGCACATGGAGGACAGGAAGCACCGGGATTGCACAGCAGCATCAAAACCCCCAAACCAAACCCCCACTCTCCAAAACTGCTTCAAAAGAATTCTAGTGACAGAAAAATAGTCTGGATGTCCCTTCCCCCAGCCATCCTGAAAGCAAGGAGTGTTGCTGAGATTACTGTGCCCTGCCTTGACAGCGCAATCTCCAGGGACTTTGCTTTTCAGCACCCCCTTTGAAAGCTCTGTGTGCACGAGGGCCATCGCAGCTCCCACAAGTATCAGGTAACGAGGGAAGCACTGATGGACATGGAAGGGGGTGGGGTGAGAGAGAAGCACTGTAAAACAAAGGCTGAGAAAGCCTCCTCGGAGGAGCCGGGGAAAGGGAAGCCCGCTCGCCACCCGTGTCCCTTCTACAGATGCTCCAAGCTGCCAATGAGCTCTGGAGCACTCCAGCAATAATAATCATAAGCACAAACTGACTGAAGTGACTCCATGGGCTGGAAAGATGCCAGCTATTACATCTAAGCCACCTTTATCTTCAATCCTAACTTGAGAACAAGACCCATTAAAACATCTCCTCCTCCAGCTCTACCCCGAGATATTATTATCCAGGCTGTATCTTTCAAAGTTGCCATTGAGCCAGCCAAACTTACACAATGATTAAAAACCAAAACAAAACACCTCCTCTCCAGAAAGAACGAGGTGGGGGGGGGGAGAGAGAGCTGAGGAAAAATAAGCAAAAAATATGACTTGAAAAGTAAAAAAAAAAAAAACAAAAAAAACCCTACAGATAAGGCAATAAATGTAACATCTTTCTGGAGAGCAGAACAATAACACTACAAATAAAAATTCCATGAAGAGTTCTGATGCTTTGCCATAGAAACTGTGCATTGCAAGGTTTATTTCTCCTTAACTGTGTCCATGTTCAGTCACAGGCTGTTCATCTGTGGTCTGCAGTGCCTCTCTGTAACAGAGACCAAAATACAGTTCCCAGAGTGAGATGCTACGAGGTGCACGGGGGGAAGGTAGAACTCAAGACTTCTGAAGAGGAGGGGAAACAAGAAAGGAGGGAAAAAAAGAAAAAAGAGAACAAGAGTTGGAGCAGACTGCTTTCTCACGACTGGACACAGCATGAGGCTCTGAATGAAAACCCAGTTTGTGATGGACACCGGCTCGCTGTATAGCCTAAATATGTTTCATATTCAAACCAGGATTCCATTCCGTTCCTGATAACTGTGGGAAAATGCTTCCAAAAGTAAGCAAAGCTGGGCAAGCCAAGACATGCACCCAAACTTCTATGCAGAGGCTCCATTGGCCTGAACCATTTTTGGTTAGTATTTCATGAAAAGTTATATGTTACTTGTTTCTATTCTAGACCAAGTCTGACAACCTGAGAGAAACTCTGAAAATCAAATAAACCAAAATGAAATGCAACTCGATCATCTAACACCACTTAAAACAGATTTAAGAAGTCCTTGCACAAGTCAGTGGTGAAAAAAAAAAAAAGAAAGAACCAAAACAAACAAACAAAACCAGAATAGAACTCCCGAGCCATATTACAGATGCAGATTGCACTATCTTGGGTGCTTCCTCAGTGGTTTAATTACCAACATTAAGCAGCACAAGCTCAACATGTTACTGCAAGCTTGACAAAAAATATTATGATATAGAGAATGAATTATGACAACTAGCACTACTTCCAATAAAGTTAAGGATGTTTTCCTTTCGGCCTTGCATAATTGTTTTGGAAGATATTTTGTCTAAACTCATAGCAACAGTTCCCTGCTGGTTCTCAGGACTGTTTACCAACACACCTAGCCCTTAAGGAAAGGAAAGGCTGAATCCTAGCTGTGAGTGCTACTGTTGCTAGATACTTGTGTGACCACTTTCCACTACCACACAGGAGTTTGGTTAAAACAGAGGAGATGCTTCAGCTGACCTGGATGGAAACACAATGCAGGGGGAACAGACCTACCCTGGCAATTCCCTCGTTTCTAACTGCCCCCTCTCATTTTGTCTGAATGTATTAAATGAAGAGTGCCTGTCCTGAAAAGGGGTGATACAAAGAATGGCATTTGATCCCTTGGCTCTGTCCCTCTCAGCATGGGGAAAAGACCAAAAAACCCCAAGACTTTGTGTTCAGAATGGGACACTTTGAAACAAAAGCCACACTGACACCCAGAGCCTCGCAGCAGTAGCAAACCCCCTTCAACGATCCAACTATCACATACCTCTAGCTAATTCCCTCAGCCCTCCCAGAAAAACAGCTCTGAGCAAAGCTGCACTGTTGAGATTTTTTAGAAGCGCATATCATCCCCACTCTATAGATCAAGGATTCAGATATCTCAGGAATGACTGCTTACAGTGTGGAGGTTTAAGTTTTCCCATGCCCATAGATGACCTCTGCCCATCTTTGAATAAATATATATATCCAGACACAAGAATTCCACATCATGCACCTTATTCCATCAAAGCTATGTCTAGGCAACAAGGCAGCAGTGAACTCTCCAGAGTCACACCCAATTAGCCACTGTAAACCTGAGCTTGACCAGAAGGCAGGGATTCTGGCTCGAGAGGAAAGGCAGCTTGAAAGGAACAGCAAATCCTTAAACTTTGCAGATGGTCATGAGGGCTTTGAAAGGCAGCATGGCCAAATTTAAGCAGAATTTCTGTGAGTGGAGCTAGGAGAGGATGGAAATGGTCAAGTTCTCCAAGAAACAAAGCAAGCATCAGTGTGCAAGAGCTGTTTTCCTCAATGACAAGACACTGACACTGTGTCTTGATCCCCTGATAATACAGCTCAAGAGACTGTGCAGACCTGAAACCCATCAGAAATTGTTCCTTTTAAGGATCTCAAAGAGCAGTGCAATCTCCTTTCTGGTTATTTAAGTGAATCCTGGCAGCTGCAAGTAAACAGGTGTTTAAAGCTCTCTGCTTGATTGCTCTCTTCCCTGCCTTCACCCAGACATCCACCCAAAGGAGGTGCCTTTGTGCTCTGCCTTCTGAAGGCACTCTGCGAGTCAGTGGGCCAGAGCAAGTTAAAACACCCGGCTCCTCGCTGCAGCGCTGCTCTGCTTTCAAAGGGCTCACAACTCGTCCAACTCCTTTCCCTCCTAGCCCTGTGGTTAGAGCGTGCAAGAGCTTTGCTGAGCATGTGAAACCATGACTAGACAAATGCAGTGGGAAGTTTTGCATTCAGAGCGCTGCTCCTCCTCTGCCAAACAAGGAGAGCAGGTTAAGCCCAGCCGCCCTCTCCTGACGCCCTGCACAGCTGTGAGCAGCAGCCTGAGAACGGTGCTCACACACACCCTGTCTGCACCCAGGGCGCACGCCGGGGACACCGGCATGGCAGGCCAGAGGTGTCCAGCTGTGACACCTGCACGAGGGAAACTGAGGCACCTTTCAGCGTGCCCAGGGGCCAGGGAGGAGGACGTCTGAGCAGGGTTAAAGCTAGCCACAAACCCGCTTCCTCTGACCAGCACCAGCACTGTCACTGCACGATGACACTGCGCAGACACATCACCACACTGTGCCACAGATGGTCCACTTGGACAACTGAACATCCTTCAAAGGAGTTAAAGGCAACTGGCTCCTCACCCAGAGGACATGCAAGTGTACTCCAGAAAAGGAGCAAAGCCACCTAACCCTCTTAACCTTTTGTGAAATGGAACATCATCAGGAAGCTCCTCTTTGGGACAGCCTACGTAAGGACAAGGCAACACCCTACAAAGCTCATACTCCCTCAACCCAGTGAATACAAACACAGCCCAAGCCGTGGCAATCTCTCTCATGCCTCAATGCCTATGGCCAAGAGCTCAGCTGAACCCCAGCAGGGAGCCCAGCCAAGAGCCTCATCAGAATATGCCCACACCAAAACACAGCACGCTGCTCCTTTAGGCTTCATCCTGAGCAGCTCCTTTGCTGCTCTAAGTGCCAGTAAACCCTGCAGTGCCACAGAAAGGAGACATGGAAACCAACCGAACCATGTCAGCAGCTCCAGGAGAGACCTGCCCCCCCGTCCTGCCTTGGCAAGGGAAGGCAGCAGCCCAAGTCAAGACCTTGGTGCATGGCCACCCTCCTGCCAAAGGATGGAGGACACAAAAGTACCGCTATCCAAACTATGCATACGCTTAAGCATCCAGTAAACCAGGCTGATCTCTGATCTGGCAAGCCTGCTGGAATAATGAGTATCCTGTGAATACATAATGTGCTGAAGTTGTCATTGTGTGAAGTAAGTCCATGGTTTGTCTGGGAGCCGAGCAATGCTGAGTCTACTGCTGCTTCCTGTTGCTTGTCCTGTATTAGCATTATTTTTGGATAGGCCCCATTATGTTCTGTAATCCTCACTGCAGTCAGTATGGCCACACTATTGTTCTTGGTTAATATTAGCAGTCAATGCCTCTGTCTGGGTGGCCGGACTACAATGTATTCCAATCATAAAACTAGCATGCATTAACGGGACAATGTACTGGGCTCAGGGGGGAGACTTGGGGTCTTCCCTCCACCCCTTCTTTAAAAAAAAGAAAAAAAAAGGTACAAAAAAAGTATAGTAGCTTCTTTTCTCCCCCTTCCCCCTCCCTCTTTTTTAGCTAATGATTTCAAGTGATCTCAGCCAGCAGGGTGCTTCATACAACAGCAGCATTTTAATCAGCACCTTATCTAGTTACGGAGTTATTTTCTCACGGAGCCCCA